GGTGAAAATATTAAAATTAAAAAAAATTAAAACAACTAAATTAAATCACGACGTTTCGGGCACAACACAAGCGTCCTTCATCAGGTGGGGGACCACCACAGCGGTCAATTAACCCCCACGATCTACACTGTGTGGGGGGGGGGGGGGGAGGCACTCGTCCAGCAGCAGGGTGACAAGAAAAGGGCCATGCGTGTGCATTGTGCAAACGGAGCTCAATCTCGATATGCAGCGTTAGGGCTGTATCAGTGGCCCCGCACCAGCAACGTAAATTCCACATTCCTCTGGCGTGCGCCGGTCTCCCCGAAGCATAACCGTGACTGACCTCCGACAAAGTGGTAGAGGCGCTTAAAACCACACACACGAGATGATGAAACACAAACATGTGCGATTGTCGGTATTGTAAGGCAAGCTGCCTGTCTTGTTGCTGCCAATAGCTTGTGAAAGCTGTGCCAACTCAGCGCTCTGGATAAATTTCAACAAAATTACATTTGAAGTTTATTTGACGTAAAAATAAATAAATCACTAAAACACAAGGGACCACATCTTCGGCGCAAAGTTTTCGAAAGTTGCAAGAGAGGCTCTTTGTTCCAGTGGGCACCTTACTGTACCTGCAAGTTAAACAGATGGCACTAAATACACCGTGGAACTGAAGAGCGTGGTTGTGAGACAGTGTATTATTTGTAAATCGATCGTGTATGATGAAGCCGTTGCCATGTAACCGCTGTTATTACAGGTGCCCTCATTTGGGTTCACTTGCGATCACTGGCCCTGCTCCCTTACGCACTCACGTATGAAGCCGGCACAATAAAGCAGCGATTCAATATTTATCAGCAAGTTACGGAAAGGGCAGCGTAATCAGACGAGACGTTTCGCAGAGATCAAGCAGAGGCTCAGATTCACGACGCCTCAATTTCTCACGCCCGACCATCACCCCACGAGTCACGTGGCAACCTTGAATGGTGCGACGGGTCCACATGGTCATCCTCATTCAACTGCCCGCAAACACCTTCATCACTCCCATCATCGTGGAACTTGCCACGAACTCCACCATCACCAAACAACACCATCGTCATCATTAAGCATGCTACAACGACCTTCTGACAGAGAGAACCTGGGGCTCTCATCGAGACGAGTTTGAGTTCGTGCCCCGAGCTGGGTTATCCGTCCCAGACGTAAAGTCATACTGCTGGAACGTCGTGTTTTCTAGGACACAATGAGAGAGAGAGAGTACGGGCTGCTTTGTAAACGACCCTCAGGGAGAAGGCGATGTTGCCAACATTTGCGCTGTGTTGGCTAAACACCAGGAGTGGAAACGCAACACTTTCGACCGCGACGAGCGCCGGGAGATTTTGAGATGGATTTTTTAAATGTGGTCTTGAGCCAAATACCACGGCATGGAAACGCGTGCCTAAAGGTGTCAAATAATTACAGATCAATGGGGAATTGGTAAAACATGCCACTCAGGATCCCCTCCGATAAGAGGCTCGAGAGTGTGCGAGCGTTTTTCTGGATAATTACTGTCAATACGAATCAGCCTCTGATGTATTTTCGGGTTGAGCCGCGTGTTGTACAACCTGGACGCACATGGGAGGAGCTGTAGAGGATAACCGCAGAAACCTACGCAGCGGCATGAATCAGCCTCACGAGTGGATGAAGCACTATTACTCCTTATTCCTTCATTACCTAGCTTGACTGGCGTCATTTTGTATTTGCGCTATGACATACAACGGAATAAAATATTTACGGCCCTCTCGTTACTCCATTGGTACATGAAGGCCTACCCATGCCGTGCCGATCATGGGTGTCGTTTGCCCATACTTCACCACCCTGATCAGTGCAGTTGGTGTAGAGGGGAGCCCAGGATCAGTTCGGAAATCAGTCACCAATGACATGAGCTGTGGCCGGGAATCGTACTTGGGTTACTGGGTTTATAACGTGATAACTTCTGCGCCTCCTCCCATACATACCATCTCATACCTTGACTAAAACTAATAATCATGTCACATGGACTCCAGCTCTCTCTTTGTTGATGCCAATTTCCATTAGAGGCCTTAAGATCTCTTCATAGCGATGTGATTAAACAATAAGTGACAAACTGTAGGCCGAGGGCACCACTGCGTGACAGCGGTGTGGAGGAGTGCACTTGAGAAATGAGCGATGGATACACTGCAGTGAACAAACACTTTGAACGTGAAACACAGCACTGCAACCATTGGTGAGCCCCGAGCCTTGCAAGTTGTGGGTTTTCTCCATCGAGTCCAGTTTTCTCGAACACGAAGCCAAAAACACTCATGAATGAAGTTAACCAAACATCCCAATGCAGCAGGACCCTGCTGAACAAGACTCGGCGACAAGACTTTCCTCTGCACATCAATGTCCAGAAAGTTCACCGAACAAACATGTTTGAGGGACAGCATCACAAAAAGGTCCGATGGACAAGACTGGTGACGGATTGGAAGCCAAAGAAGAAGAAAAACATGCCTGAGAGAATTACAATTACAGAGATGGAACAATGATATCCGGTTTCGATTTAAAGCTTTCGTGACTGCAGGGATTCATCTTCTTGGTTCTTTCGGTAAAGTCACGTAGAAGGGAAATAATAAAAATAAAACAGTAAAATAATTCACGACGTTTCGGCCACAACAAGGTGAAGACCAGGTCTGTCGGGGAGACAGCGTCAGACGCTGTCTCCCCGACAGACCTGGTCTTCACCTCAGGACGGCTGCTTGCGTTGTGGCCGATACGTCGTGAAAATTATTTTATTATGTTTTATTTTAATTATTTCCCCTCTACGTGACTTGACCGAAAGAACCAAGAAGAATGATATCCAGCTCATCTGCTGGAGTGAAAGATTGTGCTACCGTACTGTAGGCCAATGTTCATCGGCGAGGGCAGTGACTTGATCAGCGCCAATATCACGACGATGCGCTCAGTAACAGGAGCGTATTGATTAACGTTGGGCCCCCCGTGTCGAGCGTAGGCTGCCGGGGGCCCTCGTTCGCGTGGGACAATTTCGAGCGAACACTGCCCAGGAAATGCAGTCCCTGTGGGGCCTGACCGGGTGTGTGGGTGTGGGGGGGGCCCTTCCTGGAAACACGAGGGCTTTATTCTGGGCAGTGGCTCGGCTTTCGGACCACCTCGTCAAAGGACGGCACCTCTGCAGACACCGCCACAATCACGTCTCTCAAGGCTGCGTGGTCAGTGTTAAGAGCAGTTCACACACAATAACGCATGCACAGACGAATACATGGACACGCCGAAATACGCTCGGCTCACATTAACAAACAAACCACGCGCACACACAGAAACCAACTCGCACAACACAAACATGCACACACCACGTAGAAGTTAACTTACACAAAGACCAAAACTCCCCCGTATAGCCTCAGACTTTTGAGGCAAGTGCTGTTAGCAAGCACCTATGCAAGCGCGGCCGCCTTTGTCTCCCCAGTGGCGAGGTTTACATATCGTACCAGGTTGTCATTTAAAGCCAAGTCGACCAAGGGGAGGCCAAGACAGCTTCGGATAATCGTCACCGATGTTGGCCGTGAGTGGGAATCGAACTCGGCTCACCAGGTTCGTAGCGCAGGGCACTAACCACCACCACACACACGCACGCAACTCCTTCCCCCCGAGACGCACACCAACCCATCGGGTATTTCTGAATAGCGAGGCACTTGAGCCCTTGAGGTGTGAGAGCCATGCCAGTGGGCGCTATGTCAGGGCTCCTGCATACCTGGGAGTGCTGTTACAGTCCGCGTGGGCGTGAGGGCGCGTGCTGTTGCGAGGGTGTGAGTGTTGCTAAGGTATGCGCCATGTTACTCTGCGTTTCGGTGTGTGTGTGCCGAGCGGCTGTGTGTGTGTGGGGGGGTGTTCTGTCGGGTTGTCACGATGGTTGGTTAGGGTGTCACGCTTGGGTGGAGACGGTAGAGGCAGCGATTAGCGCACGCTGTGCGCCATGCACTGGGCGACCTCGGTTCGATTCCCGGCCCCGGATTGGAACCGGTCCTTGGCCTTCCCTACACCCCCCTTACTGACCCTACCCCTACTACCTGGCGTGGTGAAGTATGGTCAAACAATTCCTATGAACGAAACGGAGTGGAGAGGCCTTCGTCCAGCAGTGGATTGCCGAAGGCTGTACATTATTGCGTCACAGCGTGTGCCTGGGTATGTGCTATGTCAAGTTTAGCTGCAGGTTTTATAGGTGACGGTGGACGTTGGGGTACGTGTTGTCAGTGAGCGTGTTGTTTGAATTTGGTGCTGTCAGAATGTATTTGTCAGTGTAAGTAACCCTGTACCGCTGTTTTATCTTAATGTGTTGATATTCAATGTTATGGCGTGTAATTTTAACAATACATGCTATGTTAGGGTGCTGGTACGACCTATGTTGGTGTGCTGTTAAGGCAGGCTGCTATGTTATAGCCTGCGCGCTGTCAAACAGTCACCAATGTGTGTTCACATAGGTTCCCACCTCCATTCACAGGGACTCACCCGGGTGCCATCCACAGCAAAAAGTGACCCACCAGGAGTCACAAGGTAGCAACGCTAGCCCTGTCAGAAGCCATCCTCAGCTCAGGGAATCAACCCCCAGCAGCAAAGAAACCACCGGGGACGTTAAGCCACCCTCATCAACCTACAGCCACTCAAAAGGGAACCATGGTCACCCACACGAGGTCACCTCCAGCCAGAGGGTTCCACCAGAAGCCACCCCAAGTCACAGAATCCTACCCTCAATCAACCTCAGCCAAGAGAACGACACTCAGCTCCTCCGGTCATCCAATCATCATTGCCACTTACTATTGTCACCCCAAACCAACAGGGACCTACCAAGTCCACCAGGGTCACCTCCAAACCCAGCGTCGTACCAGAAGCCACTCAAAAAGGCACAGTGAGCCTCCTCCAGCAGTCCACCCCAGCCAAAGGAGTCCACCCCTGCCACGGGGACCTATCATGACGCACAAGGACCCACCGGGACCCTACCCCCCACCTCCGGCACCCACCTTTGAGAAGGGGCAGGGGGCTGAGCTCGACAGGGGCGCCCAGGGCACGGAAGAGCGACGATCGGCGCTGGTTGAGCCTCCCGGCGGCGCGGCGCACGGAGCGCTTACTGAACCCGTCCGCCTTCTCCAGCCCCACGGCACTCGCCACAGACATCGCTGCCGCCCTCTCTGCCGCGGCAGCAGCAGCACCGGGAGAGGGGGTGGTGGTGGTGGTGGCGGCGCGTTTAATAAAGATGTAAATGCTGTGAAATGAAAGTTCCAAGTGGAGAGAGTTAAAGCTCTCCCACCGCCGCCACCCCCACGCGGGGCCTCCCTCCCTCCTCCTCCTCACGGCGCAGTCATCGCCTCCTCCATCACCTTCACGGCGCCAGCGACCGCGGCGAAAAGAAATGATTGAACAGAGTAAACGTTTACTGTGCGAAGCAATGTGCTTTATTCGCATTCGTGCGCGAGTTACTTTATTTTTTAAATGTTTTAATTCTGTTTCTGCTTCAACAAAGTTGGCCGCGCTCCAGGCGCCGCGCCGCTCGTTATGAAGCGACTGCCAGGGCGACGGCCCTTATATACGTCACGTGATGCCCGGTGAGCGCGCTCATTGGACGGCGGCGCGCGGTATTAGATTTCATAGAACGCACCGACAGCGACGGCGCGGTCCCATTGGTCAGCGGGCGCGCACGTGACCCCCGGGGACGGGCAACCGCCTATGCTAAGTGAGAAATGTGGCAATGACGACCGCGTGACGTCAACAAAGCCGGGGGGATAGAGAGGTGGGAGGGGCCGCGGTATGTCCGTGACGTCACTACGCGTGGTGGGGGGGGGCGGGGGCTGGCAAGAGCTTGCGGCCATGTTGGGTAGGGGAGGATTCCTCTCTCCCTCCCCCCCGTGTTCATTGATGCGGAGGCACGGGCCGTGCGGTGACGTCACGCCAGCCTCTGCGAGTCGCTGCGTACTCCAAGAGCGCTGTCCCCCTCCCTACCAAACATGGCCGCCCTAGAAGGGGACAAACACTCGCGGGGGTGGGAAAATCTCAAGTCCCCGAGTGTCACCTTCCGCGGCTGTCACGGGGCGTGTACGCGGGGGGCCCCCACCCCACCCCGGGGCCCACCCCCTCACCCCTACCCCCACCCTACCCCCACCCCCACCCTACCCCCACCCCTACCCCACCCCCACCCTACCCCCACCCCTACCCCCACCCTACCCCCAACGCCATCCACGCACGGCGCATCACAAAGTTGCTGGGTGGTTCAACACCGAGAACCACGTCGCGCACACGAACAATCCGCTGCTCGGAGAGGGAGGGGGGCGGGGATGGTGTGCGGGTTGTTTGGCCAGACTTCACGCTGGAGGCTGGGGAGCACAGACGTTGGCTGAAGTGCAGTACAACAGCGGGGTTTGCTGCTGCTGCGCTGACTCATTCAGTTGGCACCACGCGCGCAAAGCCACGAAAACGACCACCAACCAACACCCGGTGGTCTGCTTTGCACCGTGGTCGCCCTCCTTTCAAGCGCTATCCCAGACCCAAAGCCTGCCGAGCCTCCCAAGATTAAAATGCGGCAGGTCACGAAAACTCGAGTCGTCCCGGTTCTCGTTTTGGCTTTATCTGCCGAGTGTATTTTTTAGTCAAAAAACAGCCGAACGAGCACCAATGTCCTGGCTCGATTCGCTCACACGGCCCCGGGACCATCTCGTGAGTGGTTGAAGGGGGCCCTTACCGCATCCCTCCTCACCAGGGTCCACCAAAGAATCTGGGCCTCTCCAGACACCAGGGCTCTCTACTTCAAAACCTCCGCACGCTGAGGTCCTCCCATTGTAAACCTGCAAACAGAAGGGCCCTCCCCCACATCATGCACTATCCCTCTGAAGAGACGACAGAGTACAACTCCCCAGCGACGTGATATCCACTGAACCAGGGCCCACGGGTCAAGAGGTTAAAGTTTGCCACCAGTCCTGGTTCTGCCCAGTAGCTGTTTTTGGGAATTTAAAGTCTTGCGGAGACATTAAACGTCCCAATTAGTTTTTTACCAGCCGTGTCATAATATAGCACTCAATACCATGCATTTACATTACAAAGGTGTTCTCTCTTCCGGTTGTGAGATATTCCACCCAATGCATGTCCCGGTTTGTTGCACATCAAAGATTAGCCGGAGGGGTAGAGAAACCCCATGGAATTCCCCGTTGCACCAGGGCCAACCACGCAACGCTGTCCAACGCAATGACGAACGAGTTTTGGGGTTGATGTGTTTTTTTTATTTCCGACATATAAAAAAAATGCCCATCCAACGCCGACTTGCCTGAGCAAGCACAACTCGATTTTGTTGTGAAAACTGTACAGTAGCAATCTGACCACGGTGAGTCACACGCACGGAAGCTTACACTTTCAATTAGGATAATCCTAAACTAAGTCAGCATATGCTGTGATCATATGCATTTAAAAAAAATAAAGTTTGTACTTTAAATCTTGGTTTTCAAAACCACTTCAAATTTGTTATCATGCCATTTGTTACCAAGCGGAGCCTTAATGAGTCTCTAGTTTTTTAAGGGGGGTTCTAAATTATGTTAAGCCAATTTATTAACGAGTATTGCTGTGGAAAGAAATCGGAGAACCCGGAAAAAACCCACGTAAAACGCACAACTTTAATCTCCACAAATAGATTCAATGATCCAACTGCCATGTCCTGAACACAGCCCACACCCACAACACAGACATTCCCAGGTAATCTCCCATCCAACCACTAACCAGGCTTAGCTTACACAAACAACCACCCATAAGATCCAGACAGGATACATACAGTGCATTCATTTGTATATGAATAGAAAAGATTCGTGATGAACATGTACGCATCAGGGCAGAGACCCAGAGGCAAGTCTAGAAAGAAGAGGTGCGGAGTGGTGAGGCATGATATGAAGGACTATGGAGTGGACGTCGAGACGATGTCCAAGACAAGCAAAAGTGAAGTTACGCGGGTTGGCAAACTCCACGAGGGCAGAAAAAGTCCGGAATAAGAACACAAAATATTGGTAACCGTAAGAAGGTGGACAAAGGGGGAGTCGCAAGGGCTGGAGTTGAGAAACACTGCACTAATATATTTGATGCAAGCCTATGGCACAACCATTCACCAGCACACAGTGGAGGGGAGGGGAGGGCATGGGGATCTTTTTCCTATGAAGGGGTTGAGTCAGGATATGAAGGACTGTGAAGTGGAATTAGGGCCTAGGACATGAATGAGTGGAGATCAGCGCGTTGCATCGCTTTGGCCGTCACTTCCGCTTGGTCTTGTATGGCGCCGTCGAGCGCACACGCCCCTTCCTGTGCACGGCCGATGGGAGCTTGGGGGCCACACCGGCGGCGCCAGCGCCGGCAAGGCCCGGCCCCGGCGGCCGCCACAGTACCAGCTGCCCGTCCTCTCCGCCCGTGACGAGCGAGCCGCGGTCGTCTCCATCCCAGGCGAGGCACCGCACGGTGGCACGGTGACCCCCACGCAGGGCGCACACGGTTCGCAGAGGCGGCGAGCCACGGCGGAGGGAGTCAAACTCGGGTGTCAGGAGGTGGAGGTCGCCGCCGTGAGTGCCCCCGGCGATGAAGAGGAGGTCAGCCCGCTCGTGGTAGAAGGCATCGACGACGTAATCCAACCGCACACCGCCGGTTACCTCCTGCATAGTAAGACGAGCAAAGTGTCGTTTAAAACGTGTGTGCGGGCCGCAGTTCAGCGTCGCAAATCCGACCGTCAAATATGTGACCATCACACCAAATTGACCGCTCATACGAAGTGCAGTATTGATGCAAGAGATAGATGCCGTTTTATACAGATGTTCGCATATCTGACCTTTTCACATATCAACCTATATCTCGGTCTCCAAGGAGTTGGATCTGCGATGAAGTACCGTAATTAATGATTCAGAACGCTTTATTAGTGCAATGCTGGATGAAGTGTCAGACATTGATAGAAAGGAATGTAACAACAAATTTTAAATGTGCAATGCATGGCGGAGGCGGACACTTAGAATGCCAATGTCAGATGGAAAGAAAAGCATGAGGATCAGAGAAAAGTTGGATATGTCACATTGACTTAAAAAATTGACTGTCAGTACACATAAAGGCTTTAAGGCATGATGGCCTATGGGCGACAAGACTGACAGAATGGCAGCCATCGGAGAAAGCGTGTCCGAGAGGTTGTGCGCTACAGTGATTGTAACGATAACATCAGCTCGTGTGCAAGTGGTTAGGTGCATTGCTACATCGTATGACCTTCAGCGGAAATGGTGACAGCTTTGGAGAGGTCTTCACCCAGCAGTAGATAGCTGATGGGCAGTGATGACGATGATAAAGACGTGAGCACAAAGAGGCGAGGGGCGACGTACCGGTATCCGCACGTCGGGCACGTTGAGTATGGTGAGCGGGCGATCGTCCGTCTCCGTGGCGACCTGCTCCAGGTCCCAGAGCAGCAGCCCCTCCGTGTGCGTGGCACAGAAAACCCAGTCGCCGGAGAGTCCCACGGCGCCGCCTCCGCTGTCGCCGGGGGGTCCCACTCCGCTGTCGTTGGGTAGTCCCGCTCGCGGCCCGGCGCCCCCCGCCACGCGCCCACACCAGCCGAGCGCCGCCACCGACGAGTGCGAGTTGCAGGTGGCCTGCGGGGTGGCGGTCGCAATTAGACCGGCGTGGCGGCAAGAGTTGCTGGTGGCGCTAGCAGCAATATGAGTGCCAATTTCTGGGAGGCTCAACCGAGCGGGACACGTGATGAGCTGGCAGCCCCTGCCCCTCCCCATCCTCTACATCCACTTTCCATTAGGCACACCCCCTCTACAACTCGCTCCCAGGCACGGGGGTTGAAATGGCTGCAAGAGTAGTAGTGGTAGTAGCAGTGGTGGTGGTGGCAGTAAGGTGACCACATTTGCCGGAGGCTAATCGAGCACTGGCAGCCAGTGGCTTCCTCACTTCTACAGATGTTGGCTTAGTTTCTACTTGTAGATCACCGGGTATGTGATATAAATTTGGGTTGATGGAAAGGCAGTGCCTGCCAATGCTTGGTGGACAAAATTAACAAATTGTTGTGATTTTATTTCCAGTTTTGTCATTTTAAGAGGAAAATAAGTTTCAACCGACATGTGAATCATGCCACAGCCTCTTTTGCAATGGAAACCTGGCATGGAAAAAAAAATAAGAAAACAGCACCAAACCAACAAATAGTTCAAAACACCACATACAGAAAAAGAGTACACATGAAACACTTCAGAAGTGAACAATCTATAAAAGTTAAAGTTTGAAATATTTATAATCATCAGCCATGGTCAATCCACTGCTGAAGGGTGAGCGGAATGATGAGCAGGAGGTTGAATGGGAGGTGTGTGCAGGAGGGTGAGTGATGTAATTATGGACCAGAGGGTGGGTGAGTGGGAGGGTGAACGAGTGGGAGGGTGGACGAGTGGGAGGGTGGACGAGAGGTAGAGCGACGGAACAATGGGTGGGAAGATGATCGAGTGGCGGGCGAGGCCGCTGAGCTCGGAGCTGAGTTCCCACCCGGGAGGAGGGTGGAGGGGGCGCGCGAGTGGGGGGCGTGCCTGCAGCGCATCCTCCTCACTGCCCTGTCGCAGGTCAAACACATTCACGAGGCCGTCCACCCCGCCGCTCGCCACGCGCTCCGCATCCGCCGGATGGAAGCAGACCTGGGGAAAGAGGGGGGATGGTAAACAACAAACATCTTGGCGCCGTCGTGGGCACCGGCCACCAATATGGAGGCCTGAGACTTATCACTCGCCCCTGAAGGAAGCCGCGACCAAGAATCGAAGTCGGGCAGACCTCACACGAGTGGGAAATACGCAGGGATGAAAAATATAAGGGGGGCACCTGGGTGATGTCGTCGCTGTGTGACTCTTCGTAGACCCCCACGGGTTCCACGTCCCCGGAGGGGCCCCGGCCGGACCCCCGGCCCCCCCTAGCGTCCCAGAACGTGAGGAAGGCGTCGTTGTCGCTGCGCTCGGTGCCAGCGCACACCAGGGAGCCCGGGGCGTTCACGTCAAAGCTCGCGAGCGCGCGGCCCCCGTTGCTATGGAACACGGCCACGGGATCGTTACCCAAACCCTCCTCTCCTCTTCCGCCGCAGAGCCGCACATCCCAGCAGCGCACGGCTCCGTCCTCGGACGCCGAGAAGAGCAGGTCGTGGCTGTGGCGCGGGAACCGGACGCCGACCACGGGGCCCCCGTGCCGCTTGAGGGCAGCGAGGGGCCGCAGCGTGCGGCGGTCGAAGAGGCGGACGCGGCGGTCGGAGGAGGCGGCGGCGAGGCGCTCGCCGGCCCAGTCCACGCCAAGCACGTAGGAGCTCGAACCGCCGCCGCCACCTCCGTCATCTCGGCTGCCATTCTCCGTGACGTTCGGAGAGCTCCTGGAGAGACGCAGCTCCCGCATGGTTTGTAAGACCTCCTCCATGGCGGACGAGCGGCGAGAGCAGAAGCCTGGGACAGCAAAGAGTCAGATGATGAGAATTGGGGATTGAACGTTCAAAAGGATTGGAGACCGTAGTTGGCGGAGACCAGAGTAGAATTGTGTAGGGTCACCGAAAGGTTTTGGAGGCCCGCGGTCACGTGCCAGATAAAGCCCCCTCTGATCGGAAACCTGGGGCAAACGGTCTCCATCTGCCGCTGCCACCCCATATACCGTTCTCTGTCGCTTTGGACCAGAGTAAGCAGAGCGGAACTTGATCGGACCCTGGAACTCTAGGAGAGGGTCTGTTCTGAAAGGCTGGAGGACAGATAAGGGTGGTGTGATAGTGCATGGGTGTAGATGAATAGTGGCCATCGAGGTTGAATTATGATCGAAGCATGGTGTCCTTGAACGTAGACAAGAAATATGATGATGTCCATTGACATGTTTGATGGTAATTTAAGTGGTTGATCATGTCAACTGACGAAATGAGTGATGGTGATGATGTCTATTGAGAGACAATGCCAATTGATGATGGTCTACTCAGAGACAATGCTCACGGATGTCTTTTGAGAGATAATGCCCGGTTGATGATTTCTATTGAGGCAATGCCTGTTGATGATGTATTTTGAGGGACAATGCTCATTGCTAATGTCTCTTGAGGGACACTGCCCGCTGATGATTTCGATTGAGGAACAATTCCTATTATTGATGGACACTGCCCACTGTTGATGATGTCTATCGATGGACACTGCCCACTGACGATTTCGATTGAGGAACAATGCCCATTGCTAATGTCTATTGAGGGACACTGCCCACTGATGATGATGTCTATTGATGGACAATGCCCACTGATGGTGATTGTTGGTTGTTCACGCGTGTCCCCACCTGCGTCCGTCTCCACACCGTCTCCTCCGCTTCCCGCACCTCCCTCTTCAACGAACTCGAGATTCCTTAAACGATCCGCACCATTGCCCGAGCGCTCGATTAACGGCACACTTCCACCGCTCGTATAACTGTAGTGATACAAAACTGTTTAATTATAATTCTCAATTCTCGAATCTCTCCCCTTCAACCGGCTCCTTCACCACGCGGAGCCCACGCGGCGCGGCGCCTACACAAATCCCACAGCGGATAGGCGCGCCCGCCAATCAGCGAGGAGCTGATTGGCGGGCTGCCGACCAATCGGCGGCGCCGACACGACAGGCCTCGCCTATGCGTGGTGCGGATTTAAAACGGAAGCGCCGCGCGTGAAGTGTCCGGGCGGAAACATTTGCGCCGGTGATTTTTCGTTCCGCGTTCTCCGTTGGAATTTTTTAAATGAATTTTTACGAATCGTTCGTGTCATCGAATCACGAATCGGTTATTTTTTAGCCATTGAGGAAAGTGTTGCATTTACAGGATGGCGGTGTGAACGTGTGTAATCTACAATGGTGTTAATAAGACGATGCGTTGGAAGTATTCGATGCACGGGAATCGACACGTGGAATCGAGTGCGTTATGTAATCAACGAATCGATTCCTCTGCCCGATTAACTTGGAAGCTCGAACTGCAAATTAGCCCAAGCGCAGCGGCCGTCAAAGGGCAGCGCTCGTAGCGACAACGACAACAGCGGGAGCAGCTTCAGCCACAAACAATAGCAGCGGCAGCAGCGGCAGCAGCAGCAGCTTTAGCAGCAGCGAGCACCACACGAGAAGGAGGCGTGCGAGGCGTGAGTCCCGTGACCTCCAGTCCCCGTGTCTCCCCCCCCAAGTCCCCGTGTCCCCCCCCCCCCGTGTCTCTCCCCCCAGTCCCCGTGTCTCCCCACCCCCAGTCCCCGTGTCTCCCCCCCCCAGTCCCCGTGTCTCCCCCCCCCTCCTCCCCGTGTCTCCCCCCCCAGTCCCCGTGTCTCCCCCCCCCCCAGTCCCCGTGTCTCCCCCCCCCCCCCAGTCCCCGTGTCTCCCCCCCTCCTCCCCGTGTCTCCCCCCCCAGTCCCCGTGTCTCCCCCCCCCCCCCCAGTCCCCGTGTCTCCCCCCCAGTCCCCGTGTCTCCCCCCCCCCAGTCCCCGTGTCTCCCCCCCCTCCTCCCCGTGTCTCCCCCCCCAGTCCCCGTGTCTCCCCCCCCCCAGTCCCCGTGTCTCCCCCCCCCCTCCTCCCCGTGTCTCCCCCCCCAGTCCCCGTGTCTCCCCCCCCCCGAGTCCCCGTGTCTCCCCCCCCCCCCAGTCCCCGTGTCTCCCCCCCCCCCTCCTCCCCGTGTCTCCCCCCCAGTCCCCGTGTCTCCCCCCCTCCAGTCCCCGTGTCTCCTCCCCCCCAAGTCCCCGTGTCTCCCCCCCCCCCCAGTCCTCGTGTCTCCCCCCCCCCCTCCCAGTCCCCGTGTCTCCCCCCCTCCAGTCCCCGTGTCTCCCCCCCCCCGAGTCCCCGTGTGTCCCCCCCCCCCCGAGTCCCCCCCCCCAGTCCCCGTCTCCCCCCTCCAGTCCCCGTGTCTCCCCCCCCCCCAGTCCTCGTGTCTCCCCCCCCCTCCCAGTCCCCGTGTCTCCCCCCCGTGTCTCCCCCCCCCCTCCCAGTCCCCGTGTCTCCCCCCCAGAGTCCCCGTGTCTCCCCGGGTTACGCAGTCCCAGTGTCTGACCCCACGTGTCCCCCCCCCCTGGATAATTGAGTCCCAATGTCACTTGAGACTGTGTCCTCGTGTCTCAGTGTGGCAATTACAATGTTTAATCCACTGCTGGATGAGGGCCTCCCCACGCCGTTCGGCTCGTGTCTTGATGTTATTTCATCATACTTCACGCCCGTCAGTGCGACGGGGGTGGATGGGGGGGCACAGCCCTCAAAGCATAGACATACAGTACAACAGTGAACGTCGCTGCATTGCCTCCCTGCCGAAGTGCTTTCTCCAACTTGCGCAGTCCTCGGGACTAAAACCCAACCTCAGCTACCGCCAAGGGTCCCGGTTTTCCCCTTGTCGAGGTGTCGCCACTGCCCTGGGAATCAATCCGTGACTCTTCCCGGGACGTTAAAGGCCAATGTTTCTGTCAGTTGCGTCATCATAATGGATTTTAGTTACTAACACTGTTCCAGGACAAATGTTGGCAATCAAGCACATCCACCTCGCCTTATCATGGCCTCGTGATATCGTGGTGTCATATAACATTGTTGGGGTACCGTTTGTGGTATAATACTGTGGGTCAAGGCCGTAGCCATGGAGTCAACATTGGGGGGGGGGGACCAAATCTTCCAGGGTGTCTGGGGGTCCCAACCCAAAAAAATGTCTAAATTTGAAAACTAAATTCTGCCTAATATATTAAAAAATTCACTAACACATGGGATGGACTTTTTTTTTACAATAATGTCGAATAGTGTATTGTATTACATTACTGTTTTTACATTTCTTGTTTCATTGTATATAATGGCAGAGATTAGGGATTAATAAAGTACAACCATAACCACAATCATATAAACAGAAATAGATGCATTAATGTATATGAAGACAAGTCCAGATATTGTGGCCAAGGTTTAGCAAATTGTTGTTTTTATTTACATAGCATAGCAATTATGTATTTTCATTGAAATATATTGGGGGGGACATTTTGGGCATATTTGAATATTGTGGGGGGGGGGGGGTGGGTCTTGCTGTGGGTCAATTATGGATATGCGTACCTTGTACTCTAGTGGCAAGTTCCTCACGCCGATATTCACTCCGTACTGCAAGCCAGTCCACCAGCAGCGTTCAGGAAAAATGTCAAAATATGCCTCAAGGTATTACATTCCCACGTGATTACTTCCCTGCTCCGGCATCCTCAGATATTCCTCTCCGTGTTGTTTTATTTGTATATTCCAAGAGGTGGCAACACCCCCCCCCCCCCCAGCTACTCCCACGTGGCCGTCAGCATGAGCGAGTCGGGTGCCATGCCCGCGGAGACGGGGAGCGCGGCTCCCCGGCGCTCCATCGACTCCCCCATGAGACGCATGGTGAAGAATTGCTTCGCGTGCCGCATCGTGTCGGGCACGGGGTTCGTCGCAGCCGGGGCCTACGTCTACTTGATCGGGCGACGCGCCGCCAAGTGCAGCCCCGTGGTCGGGTTCGGCTCCATCACCCAACTCGCCTTCGGCTGCGGTACAGAGGCTGGGGGGTTGGGTTGGGGGGGGGGGACACGGGGAGGTTTCAGATGCCCCGATGGATGGATTTGGGTATCGGAAGCTTTAAGGAATCTTGAAGACTTAAAGGGACTGGAATGACAATGGGCCTCGAGATATAGGGGACCCTAGAGATGATTGGATCTGGGGGAGCGGGGATGAAGGGTACTCGTGGTTTCAGGGAACCTCAAAGATCAGAGGACATGGAGGACAGCGGGGGACCAAGGGATTTCATGGGACTGGAGGGATCAGGGACACAGGGAATCTTAGGATTTTAGGAGACTGGAATGATAAGGAGGGCTCGAGATCAGGGAGATTAAAGAGCCCTGAATAATTTTGCTACCTAAGTAAAGGTGCAGCCCTGGAATTGCTTGCTTACGCCATTGCTGGCAGGAGGGACCCAACGAGCTGGGGTTGCCACCCGTCCAGGTTTTTTTCCCCAAATTGTCCACTTGTTGAGGTCGCTGTCCTGGGAAACCTGACAAGTATTAACAATACACCACGCAAGACAATGCCTTGACGTCTAGATCCGTGATAAGCCGTCAGCCGGATCACAGCAATTCGCAGTTGGATTCCCGCTGCGTGGCGTGTAAATTTCAGCAGAGAATTACAAAAGCACGGTGCTTTAAGCTACATTGCGTGTCGTATGCAGAGCAATGTGGCCATGTTCAAAGTAAACAATCTGAGTTGGGACAAAGTTTACCAGCTCAGCTCATCCCTCTAGCGGCCAATTGTGGGACTGCACCTGCAAGGCAGAAGTGGAAGTTATCGTGCAGTCTGAGTCTGCAGTACCGTAAACTAATGTTAAAGTCTCTACCGATGTGAACTAAGACGACAGTATATGCTTGTCTTCGCACTGTGCTATGAACCCAGCGGCCTGATCAGTGGCGAACGAGGTCAGAACCCAAACCCCCCCCCCCCCCCCTTCACCAACCCACATTGACCAGTTTGGTGACGTATGGTCAAACAACTCCATGACTGACACTGTGTGGGAAGGCCATCATCCATACTAATGTTGGCTGTCCATGAAATATGGGTGTCATGGGAGTCTTGTTAGTTACTACATCGTTGGTGGTGTGCAGTTATCAAGACGGCACTGTCGGTGTTTTGCACACGCAGGTCTCTTCGCCATGGGGGTGGTGATTCTCGTGGACCCTGTGGACAGGATGATCATCACAGAGAGGCCCAAGAGCAATTGACGCAACCTCCTTGTGCGAAACAACAGCGTCATTGCTGCACGGGATGGCGACTCGGCATTTCTGCCAGACAGTGGCATCCATCCCAAGTTGCTGGGAAAACAGTGATGTTAAGTAAACTGTAAAATAAACTGTCGGTGCAAGTCACATGTAGGCAGGTGAGGAATGTCCGCCTTGTGGATCGCTGCTTAAGCATGATTGCCTATTGGCTCAGCCCGAGACGCAGCGGTACATCAGACTTGTGGTCTTTCTCCAACCTGTGAATTATACGCCCATGTGTTCTCGTTATGTGACGGGGTGCTGAGCGACTATGAGGGTGTTTGTGGTCAGTGGTTTTATGCGAGGCTTAATATTTTCTCTGCTATCGAATCTGGTGGCTGCCATCACTGCTGTCACCAATGCTGCCATCCTTTATCCTCTGCTGACTCCTTGACCCTGTTCTGGTCGAGAGTCGAGCCCTATCTCTTTTTATTTGCCTATGGCTGTTGAGTATGTAAAATAAATATGTGCCGTTTTCCACGGATGCCGATGTCCACCAGTCTTGTACCTCATCTTGAGATGCAGTTGATGCTGTATAAATCTTAAGTTGTATTATTGCCATCACTGTGACTACGGGCATAACACCATTTTATTTCTGGGACCATGACTTGCGTAGGCCAACGATGCTACATAGAGCCATGTAAATGCGGTCAAACATAAACATCAGCAGGCTCCACTGTGCCTCTTGAGGACATTCACTGCCAAGCGTGAACCACGGCGCACCGGTTTCTTGATTTCGAGTTCATCTAACACTTGCGATGATCGATGACAAGAAGCCAGCTGCATTAAGGAATTTTAATTTCACATCGGGGAGGAACGATAAAAGAGCATTAAAGACGCGATAAAAAAATAAACAATATAAACGTTTAAAAAATCTTTATGATTTACAATTCAAGAGCAGTCCAGTCAGCGGTAAATCAAAGGGCGGCGCTTGCCTGGAGAGTAATTATTACTGCATTGGAGATACCCTTCAAGAAGGGGACAATCGCACCGACCCAGGCACGCTTTCAAGAATCCTCGCGATATAAGTGGTGCAACATTCTTTATATACATGTACACAAATATAAACAAAATGTTAGTACGCCCATATAATCATCACACCTCATGCCTACAGCCCACACAACCGAATTTACCCTCGTAAAGTGATTCTGTTCTCAAAGCCACTGCTGCATGACCTTGAGAGTATCAAGCCAAAGGTTTTGTACACACAGGTAGAGGAGCGGTCGCAACATTAGTTCTCTCAACATTTTAAACGTTTAGACTCGACGATGCATGCGATTGTTACATTTAAAGACCCCGCTCAAATGCCGGTCTCTCCGGACTGTCCATTATACGTTTGCCGGTCACATGCAAATCGTGGCAAATGACACCATTGCACTTGGGAGCTGATAAATGTGAGATGAGACAGAACATTTGTGCACACCGATTACTCTAGTTGCAAACTCGTGCCTCCTACCCAACCACAAGACATTGCCGGCCACGTGCCCTGTGCGTAGGGGGCGGCAGAGAGTCAAGCACTGCACTCGTGTTTATTATAATAATTAACGGCGCTGACGTGTGCGCAGAAAAAACCTGACGTCCAGCGGGAGATCAAAACGCTGCCGCCACTTTTTTGGCACCACGTGGGCATGAAGACTCGTGGCAGTGGGGCAGGAAAGGAATCTCAGAGCAGCACCATCGGATCGCTGGCATGTCAGGGAGAACAACCCCGACTGCCGGAGCACGGGTGAAATCAGACTCGAAGCACCTTCAAGTTTCATCTCGTGTAAATTTTCGACACTCAAACACCCGGCACGTTTTACGGAAAAATAATCTAAAAACTAGAAAAATAACGCACCCTCCCACGAAGAGTTCTCCCCACGACTCCGGGGAGGAGAATTTTTTCTTTCTATGTTATTTCCAGTCGAGTCCGGAGTAGGTGCCGAGGTCGGCGATCCGAGGGCAGGAATCAGGAGAGGCCGACGAGTGAGAAGGCGCACGGCACGAGGCAGGCGGCGCTGAAGCCGACGGCGCCGTACGTGATGAAGCGGTAAGGCAGCTCGACTTGCGCGTGGCGCCGTGCCACGCTCACATCATCGCCCGGGATGCTAAACAGCCTGGGACCGATTACACATGCAAATATATACACGCAGACAGACAGACATAGACACGATATATACACAAATATCCCCTGTATAGCCTTAACAGACTTGGAGCAAATGCTGTTAGCGAGTAGCACCATATAAACCAACAGACATTAAAACTGACACCTTTTTTACAAGGAGTCATGTTTGTATTGACCACAATACATGCAGTTGGAATGCAAACAAAAAACATAACTCTGATAATGTATGCACTGTCCTAGGAATTTATTGGTCCACACCCGAGACAACTTTCTTTAGAGCCTAGTCTCACATGGTGTTGGACCAGATTGTTACTGGCAAATGAGGTTCCAATGGGCTAACAGACATCAACCATGTAAATCTATCTACATAGACTGTTGGGAGGCAAAGGCTATTGGCGAACACCCATTGCTCCCAACACACCCGCACACGTAAGTAAAAACCACACACATGGGCGCACAGACGGCAGCAGGATAAAGGATGGCAGCCTCACCAGCATGCGAGCGGGATGCTCGTGGACTTGAGAGCAGCCTTGGTTGCGAGCAGGATGGCGGAACCGAGCAGCACACGAGCGATTGTGCGCACCAGGGCGCCGGGCAGCTGAGGCAGGCCGGGAAGCACGGGCAGGGGCAGTCGCTCCGAGGGAGCCTGCGTGGTGGCCAGCAGCCCTAGGAGGCGGTTGACGCGCGAGCCGCTCGCCACGCCGGCGCCAACAGCGAGGATCTGAGCGGTGTCGCCGCGTGACGTGCTCCAGCCATCCAGCGTGAACGCCGCCAGGGCAGCCGCCACGTGCGCCAGCGCCACCGCCGCACCGCCGGTCACGCCGCGCAGCCACCATGCCAGCCCGCCCACTGCACACGGAGAGGGCGGCAGCACCGTCACGACCATCATCGCCGCCGCAACCACCATCATGGCGCTGTCTTTCATCGCCATAAGAGCATCAATAACTCATGGACGCGTGTCCTTTGAACCCAGAACTTAACATAAATTACACACGAATTATGTCTGGAGTGTACATGTGCAGCCCTGTATATCCACTACTGGATGAAGGCCTCCACACACAGTCTTCATGGGGATTGGGTGCGAGTTGTAATTGTATTAAAATTGCCCCAGTGCATCATGGCCTTGAGAGGGGGGTAAGAGGAACAGAGGGGACAAGAGTACTAGGGGGCAGGGCGGCACCTGTAGCCTGGTTCTGCGAGGAGGAGGAGGCCTCTGCGGGGCCGCCCCAGTGCAGCACGAGGCTGTCGAGGGTCTCCAGCGAGGGCAGCAGCACGGAGAGGATGGCCACGCTACAAAGCACGCCCACCACCACGTCCTGGGGGCAGGCGACAGGGGGCAGCACCGCAGGGTCAGACTCGGGCTCGGAGCAAGCGTCTCACGACGAGATGGGCCGGGGGTACGCGCGAACCCCCCCCGAGGGGATCTGGGGGGGGGGGGAACCTCACCAGAATGGAGTGCATGCCCATGTAGAGGCGGCTGAGGCAGACGAGCAGGCACCAGCAGCAGGCGAGAGCCAGGCCCAGGACAGCTGGGTACTGTGGGTAGAGGGGCACGGCGGGGGCGGCAGATTTATACACATCCTGGTCAGTGAAGATTACGGCTACGATTTTTTACGTGGTTCATTTTTTTGCAGATTCATGGCCAAGGTGTGGGGAATTATACAACTCATAATTTCACGTGAAGGTGATGGAATAAGGAGAGCCAGACCCTTGTAATTCACATCTCATTAAAAAATAGAGGGTCTTGGTGACAGCAGCACATCCATGTTAAAAGTTTTAATATTAAACCACGGTCAAGAATACAAACTGAGTGATGTGGGTCACAGGATTCTAAAGACAGTTCACTGACTCCAATGCCATCGCTCCCCAGTAATACACGCTCTCTCACAAAGATACACGTGTCATTATTACACTTGGTTTGGCTCAGAGGGGTTGTTAGTGAGCGTCTATTATGGTACCGTGAAAATTGAAGTTGCCCTTTGCCTGGGCTGTGCCGAGGACCCTTCACCCACCACCCAACCACTCTCGCTTTGCTAACAACGCACGTGGCCCTGAGTTTAGCGCCACAGCAGGGCCCTCAGCACCATAAACAAGGGGTTGTTACTGCAATCCACATCGATTATGCAGAGATTATCAAGGTTCTGTTAAAACAGAGCAGGTTTTGGAAGATTGGGCTGTGTTTCGCAGACATAAATCTGTTACTCTGCAACAATGGTCTATCATCATGATCAAGCCAATCCGCTGCTGGATGAAGGCCTGCCCCAAGCCGTCACCATCTCTCACAGTCTGGCACCTGCCCAGGAGTGGATTTCATCACCTCCATCTCCATGGTGGTCTTCCCCTCGGACCCATTTCCTCCTTTGGCTGCAAAACCATCATTAATTGCGCCCAGCGACCACAGTCCCTCCTCGTCATCCATGTCCTGCCCACGCCTACCTACTTTGCTCAACACTCAACACTTTGCCGGTCCATCACCTGCTTATAAATGAAGGTTGTCTTATTTCTGTCAAACAGAACTGGTCAAACAACCCTGGCCAGGCCCTCCAGTAAACGGCGTCAATCCTCTGTGAGGCTCTGCCCAGTATTGAAAGGACTACATTATTATTAGTAGTAGTACTGTAGAAAGAGCAATCATAAAGGCTGAGCAAAGATGGTTCTCAGTTTCCCAGCTGTTTAGTCCTCTGCTTTCCAGAATAACCACCTCTTTGTGACGCAGCAAACGTGGCTTGAATTAGCTTCTCGTTGCACTTTTATCAGCCCCATTGTTCGGAGGCGTGTGGAGGGAGGGAGGGTGGCTTGCCAGGGAGGGCCGCCAGGGACTGGACGACACCAGGGCTGCGTGCAACCCACAGCCACTGCGTTTAACCACCCCCAGAGATCCCCCGTGTAGCGTACAGTGCCGTTCGCGAGCACCTCTTAAGATCAACACCTACTAAGGTCGACACACCTACACATACATACCCAGTTATATATACATACAACAGCTGCCATTCGCCACTAAGTGACATGACCACATCGCTTGCGCCAGGATAGGTACACATATATATCCAAAATGCACGCACATACATGCTCGGAAACATATACACACGCACAAACATGCACACGCAAAGATGCCTCGTGTAGCCTACATAATGTTGGTATGGCGCACAAAGAGGTGATTTGGCCAACACCATGCCTAGCCGCCTTTATCTCCCCAGTGCTTACATTTACACACCGTACCAGGTACTCATTTAAGGCCCAGTCAACCTAGGGGAGGCAAAGCACCAGCTCAGATAATCATCGCTGATATTACCTATGGCCGGTGATCAAATTCAAGTCGCAGCGTTTGCAGAGCAGTGCGCTAACTACTGCGTTACCACTCCTTTGTGCTGGACACCAGGATGCACATGTGACCCAGGAAGAGAGTTTACCCCGCGGAGCTTGTGGCGGTGATCCCACTTCCCGTGGTGAACCTTGGCCCGGTCACACAGCCCCGCAGCCTTAAAGCTTTATCAGCACAGCCACCACACACCACAAAGTGAACATCAAATTAAAAGTCCTTATGTGGGACTGGGAGGAGGGGATGTGTGGTTTGGGGGTAGAACCAACCACACACCAGCCCAGTGTTCTTCACTACTTTTCAGAGGAGGGGCCACTTTCGCCGATAATAAGACACTATCAGTGTGAAGGCCGCCACACATTTGAAACCATTGGGTTTGACAGCACGATGAGGGGGTGTTTTCACATTTGTGTAATGTCAGGTGCTGCACGTCAGGGGCCGCAGACTAAAGGCCACCAGGTGCAGCCAGTGACCCGCGGGCCTTGCAATGAATAACACTGTACTATCTTCTTGGTTCTTTCGGTAAAGTCACGTAGAAGGGAAGTAATAAAATAATAAAAATAATAAAAATAAAACATAATAATTTTATTAAACATAATAATTTTATTATGTTTTATTTTTATTATTTTTATTATTTTATTACTTCCCTTCTACGTGACTTTACCGAAATAATTTTATTATGTTTTATTTTTATTATTTTATTACTTCCCTTCTACGTGACTTTACCGAAAGAACCAAGAAGATGAATCCCTGCAGTCACGAAAGCTTTAAATCAAAACACTGTACTAGCCCGACCAAGTAACCAATTAGCATAACTAGTACAAGCCCTCCCACCGACCCTAACACTAACCAACTAGCCATGAGTACGAGAGGATCGCCATTATTGCGGAATCTGTCATTGGCTGCAAACGATACTTTAAGGAATACCCTCCCTTAGTTTACAATGTAAATCGCTGCGATCCAATGGAACATTTCACACTGGCCACCCGAGACTGAAATCCTCAAGACCAGGGAATTTCGAAAGGGCAATTAATCACCCAGAAAAGCCTTAATACAATATAATCCTAATTCATATTCTTGGTTCTTTCGGTAAAGTCACGTAGATAGAAAATAAAAATAATAAAATTAAATTACAAATGAAATTTTAAAAACCCACGACGTTTCTTGTCATAAGAGTTGTTTTTTTCCCCAAGAGAGGCCTGCCACATTGAGTTGTTTGACCAATTCCTTTATCGGCAGATTGGCTCCACGTGGGAGACAAACGGAGAACCCAGAGAAAACCTCCCCACGAGTACTTACGAGGTGACAGCACTTCCATCTCCTGGCCACACCTCGCAGACCTGGACCTATAACAACTGGCAAGCCCTGGTGGTTGCCAGCCATCTAAAAACTAACCAGGCTCAAACCCGTTTCGCTTATGCGACCCGCCAAAATCAGGCGCAGTCAGAGCCATTTTGTCACAGGAAATCATTAATCACGGCCCAAATTAGGCAGAACAGCAAACATTACACTTCGCTGTTGCAACATTCACTTCCAGATAAGGAGCTCAACCCTAATTTGCTTTTCTATCTGAAAGTAAACTTCCCCATCCACAAGCCTCCAGTGGCAGATAAAACCTCAGAGCCAGCACAACAGCAGCCGGACGTTGAAAGCGTGACGTGGCACACACAGCGGGGAGTCGTGGGTCACGACTCTTATTCAATAACTAAGCATGTTCCCATGTGCCGACGGGTTTTACTGCGTGTTGTTCGGAATTTGATGTTCAACATTTCTCTCCGCGTGCTGGAAGCTTCTCCAGCACAACTGCAAAACCCGACGCAGTACTTAGCAATAACCTTTGCCAAGCCACTGAATGGATGAAGGCCTCCCCGTGCCATGTCGTTCCTGGGTCGATTGCTTCACCGTACTTTACCATGCTCCTGCACCAAATCGTGTTCATGAAACTCTAAATCCATGGCCAGGTGATGAGTCACTGGTAGAAATTCTATCCATGTAGAACAATCATTAGCGATAATTAATAATCAGCCTGCTTACCACAAATGGGATAAAAAATTAGTACAAGGCAAAATGTGAACGTTAAAATGAATAACAATCGGCGTGTCCCAAGCACGCACCGACCTCCACGTGTAATGAATAACGAATCCGCTAAGTGTGGCAGAAGCCGAACGACAGCAGGGTGAGGAATGTGCGAGCCACTTGTTACTCCACTATTGGCCTGTTCTGTGCGGATAAAATTAGCACGTAACCCCTGTCACCCCGAGAGCCCCAATCCCAATTATTCTGTCGACCGGAAGGAATTTAAAGAGATGGAGCCCACATGCCTGGCGTTGAGAAATGTAAATAGTTTGACGTGCAGTCGTTTTTATAGAGAAAATATAGGAAACCAAGACTGACTCGCCAATCAACCATAATCTATCCATTGCTGGATGAAGGCCTCTCCACTCCCATCCCTCATGGTCCTACGATTCCATAATTTATGTCACTCCTGCAAATGAGCTGATCTCATCACTCCATCTCCATGGTGGTCTCTACTTTGGCTGCCATTCATTCAGGGGTCTCTTCCATCATTTATTATCCTTTCAGCTACTACGCCCGAACTCGAACCCCGCTCACCTCATAACGTCGCCAACATCTCGAATTTGTGTTTGTTTTATAATCCATATGCTCCTCCTCTCATCTCTCAGAGGGATTCCCAGCTTCTTTGCGCAACTTTCGGCTTTAGTTACATTTTCTTTGTCACTGTAATTGTTTTCCGAATTGTACTTCATTGAAAAGCCATCACAAGTTAATGCACTTTCAATGGCCACATGGTGAAGCTGGTGCCACAAAATCCTTGCCAACGGAGTCAGCACAGAAACAGGCGAGGTCTCATAAGGCCCCAAGGACGATGAGGTTACCAATGTATGTATGTTGAACTTCTTTAGCACCGTACATAGCCAACTGCGCTAATGAGAGGTGGGGGGGAAGGACAACAAACTAAACACAAAAGGTGGTCAGAACGTTCTGATAACGGCACCAAGCCGGCTCTCGACACAAACGCTGACCATAAACACACAACCTACCCCAAGTGATGTAACGTCATCATTAAGTAGATTTGTGTTCGGAGGGGCCTAATTGAAAATACAATGAGGGTATGTGTGCTTTTGAGGATAAAAAACTGCTCTCAACTCAAGCTGCGCACAATCTTAAAGTAATAATCGTGTACAGCGTGCGTTCA